CATGAAATTCTAAATAGAAAATGAGATTAGCCATCTTAATAGATGTTAAAGACCATTAATTAAATGATAATAGAAATAACACGATTTTGCTCCAGGAATTTAATTAAAAATTTTACCTTATAAATAAAATAATTTGGTTTAAAAACAGCACTATCTTGTTACCAGTTTTTACATGAACATTTGCTTTGTTGCTGCCTCCTAAAATAACCATCAAACTCTAAACTGTGGTGAAACTTCCAAGTTCACGATGCATATTGCAGCAGATACCAGGATCATTACTTTGAGGAGCTAAGTACACCAACTAAGTACAGTGGTCAACCATGAAATAAATAATCACTAGGTTGAGAATGGAAAATCTACTACTTACTCTATGCCTGTCTGTTGCAAAACTCCATGTCCAGCATAATTTAGGATGATGGTCTTCAATGGCTAAGGGTGTGCAACTTCATGTTGTCAGAATACTGTACTGTGTTTCTCAATTTTTTTTTATTTTTTATTTTAATAAGATGGGGTTTCACTATCATGGCCAGGCTGGTCTTGAACTCCTGACCTCAGGTGATCCACCCACCTCCACCTCCAAAAGTGCTAGGATTACAGGCATGAGGCACCACGGCTGTGCTTTTCAAATTTTAAGATGCATCAAAACCACCTATTGGTTTGCTAGAAACACAGGTTGCTGTCCACCTCTTTGAATTTCTGATTCCATGAGTTTGGGGTGAGTTGGTGAATCTGCATTCCTAACAAGTTCCCAGGGGATCTTACGTTGACAGTCAATCCAGGGACCACATCTTGGAAACCACTGCCATACTTAAGTGTTGATGAATAAAGACATTTGGAGAGAGAGTAACATAGTCTCATGGTGAGTGTAGCAGACACTTTCATATTTATTCACTACTCTTCTGCTAAAGGAATCAAAACATTTGGGTAACAGGTGATTTATGGTTGACAATTTAAAATAGTCCTTTCAAAGCTTTTCCTTTGCTAATCTAACCAATGAATACAGCAGTAGTTAGCCGGTTGGGGACAACATGATCAAAGTTGAGTTACTAGATACCAAAGAGGAAGAAAAGATTCTTGACTATAAACCAGCAAAAGAAATGGTTTAACCATAAACACTGGGTTTCTTTGCACAGAGAAAGTTGGGACAGTTTGGTAAAAGCTTTTGTGTAATTTTGGAAATGGACTTGAGATTAAAGGATTAAACCCACTTGTTTATCTTCATTCTCCCCTAAAAAGGATAGCAAAAGAACATAAAGGGATAAATCCAGAGGGGCAAAGAGACAGAGGAGGAGTCATCAACAAAAGCTCTGTTTCAACACAATTTTGATGGAGGAATGAAAACTAGTTTAACAGAACAGTGAAAGCTACACTCTAATGTGGCCCTAGAGGTCAGTACAGAAAGAGCCCAATTCCCTACAAAACCCTAGAGTGGTCTGGGCCTTGGAGATGCCAGAGATCACCAGAAGAAAATGCTGATGAGGGGCCCCAGAAGGGTGAGGGAGAGGTGAGCAGCTAAAAGCAAGGGGCCAGGTCAATATCGGCACTTGGAGTTGCCAGAGTCTCAGGTGCCCTGTCCCACTCCTTGCAGTCAGCAAGAGAAAGAGGAGAGAAGCTTGTCCAGCAGGCACAAAGAAAGGCAGGTGCTGGAAAGAAAAAAGTGTGAAAGATTGCATCCTAAACAGTTACTCATCCAGACCCTTCCCCTGAACCATTTCCATTGGCAGCCAAGTGAATGCCTCCTCAGGCAAGAGATTCTAAGATATTTCTCATGAGAAACTGACACGCCCCAAAGAAAACACATCTAGTTTCTACATTTGAGGTGTCTTCCCATGAAAAGATGAGCTTTCGTCTGATCACCGCACAGCAAGCACACCTTTCTCACCTCCATACAGACTTTCTGGTGAGGTTTCTATTACTTCATTCTTACTTATGAAAGGAGAGGAAAAGGTTTGCAGACAGTTGACAAAAAAACCTCTAACATGATGGGACTAAAACAAATAACATGAGAAGGGAAGCTAGAAGAAAGCCAAGACAAGGCAGGAGGCAAAGAAAACCTTACAGTAAGCAAACACTCTTAAAAGATAGGAAAAATTAGTGCAACTGCGACATAGTCACAAAATTCTATTTATAACAGACAGCATGAAATGAGCTCTTTAAATAGCAGAGATAACAACTGCAGTAGAAAGTAAAGTAAAACAGGACAAAAGATGAAGAGATATGTCACAGGAAAAAAAAGATAAGAACATTCTGAGATTAATCCACTCTAAAAAAGAAATAACAAGATTGAATAATAATTGAGATTTTAATAAGTGCCTGGTACTGTTCTAAGTGGCTCAGACATATTAGTGAGGTAATTACTATTATTATCTCCATTTTATAGATGAGGAAACTGAGGCACAACAAAATTAAGTGACATTTCCAATAGTAACACTAGAAGTTAGAAGATAAAACAGCAATTTCTGCCTGTAATCCCAGCTACTTGGAAAACTGAGTTAGGAGGATCACTTGAGTCCAGGATTTTGAGGCTGCGGAGAGCTATGACCATGTCACTGCACTCCAGCTGGTGTGACAGAGTAAGAACTTGTTTTAAAAATTTTAATTATTATTATTATTTGAGACATGGTTTTGTTCTGTTGCCCAGGCGGAAGTGCAGTGTCATGATCTCGACTCACTGCAGCCTTGACCTCCCCAGCTCAAACGATCACCTTTCCTCAGCCCCCTGAGTAGCTGAGACTACCGGTGCACACCAGTATGCCCAGGTAATTTTTGCATTTTTTGTAGAGATGAGGTCTAGCTACATTGCCCATGCTGATCTTGAACTCCTGGACTCAAGCGACCCTCCTGCCTTGGCCTCCCAAAGTGCTGGGATTATAGGTGCAAGCACTGTGCATGGCCTAAAATTATTTTTTAATTAAAAAATTAAATAAGTGAAAGAGCAATTTCTACAAACTTATAAATGAAGAAATTCTAGTTAGAATTCTATACTTGGTCAGACTCTCCATTAAAAGTAAAAGTTGAATAAAGACATAACAAGTATGTAAGAACTCAAATTTTTACCTTCTGTACCCTTTCTTGGGCTGTTACTAGAACACATGCCATGGAAAATGAAGCAGTAAACCAAAAAGAAGGCACAAAACACAGAAATGGGGATTTTCACACTACAAATTAAGGAGTGTCCCAGGTTGACACTTGAGCAGCAGGTCCACAGAGTAACTCATCTCCATTGAAACAGTAGAATAATGAATTTCTGGAGGAATTGTTTTCAGGGGAAAATTGGAATTGATTGTTTGATCATTTGGAAAATAAACATGATAGTCATTTGATAGATCAGTTGTAGAAAAATATCAGGTAGGTGCATAATAAGCTAAGTAAATAGATGATACAAGGTTTTACAAGAAAGAAAACAATAATAGTACACGAATTTGCTCTGTTGTCATTGCTATTGGCAAAGTCACTTACTTAGCTCCTAAACTGTGAAAGTGCTATGTTGGAAGGAGAAGTTGCCTGGCATGAAAGAACTAAATCCTAATCTGAAGCAACAGGTAGTCAGAATACCACATCTATTGGCAAATCAAGAGATAGCAGTATAAAGTATTTAGAAATAGGGAGGTAAATGACAGAAAAGACAGATAAAAGTGGAATGTGGCTGCCTCTAAAAAGGAGAACACAACAGCTATGTATCTTAAAATATATTAAAATAGAACCTGCATTGTCTTAAAATATATTACTTTTTAAAGTGTGTGTTTATATTGTCCTCAAAAAATACAATTTTGAAATTTATTTGTTGAGAATGGACACATGGAACAAACCAAACCTTATTTTATCGTGTAATTTTCTGAAAATATGTGATCCATAAACATAAAAAAGAAAACCTGTATTAAGTCTGGCAGCTTTAGTATTAACTTGAAATAAAATATGGTAAGCTTTCCATGTCCTCTTTTATTTCCACAATCCATATGTACGAGCTAGATCCCAGATAGAACTTCACAGATACTTCACTCTTTGTTAGCAGCGGTTATAAATTACACCTTTGCTAATTTGCGTTGTTCCCAACCAGGAGAAACATTACCACAAAAAAGTCAGTTTCATCCTGCAGTGTTTCCGTAGCAACCATATTAAGCTGGAAGGATAAAGCACCTTTGTAGCAGTAGCGTCTATTGAATTACAATGTAAATGTTGATGCTTGCCTGGAAACGTCAAATGACAACAGGTTTACAGAACGAATTCAGTGGTTGTTTGCAGCTCTGGAATCCCGGGCTGCAGAGTCGAGACCGAAGAGGTGCACCTGGCCATCTTAGTGTCCATTCAACCAAATCTCCTCACTTCATTAAAACCACGCCATTCCCCACCTGCCCAGCTCGTAAAAGGATGCTCACCTGTTTAAAATCTGTAATATACCTGACGTCTTTTATACAGCAGGACACGAAAAGTGTTTGTTGTGGATAAGCATGTTAAAAATTCAATTACGCAACAGATCAAACTTTGTGCTTCTTTTCCCCTCTCAGCACAAAGGGAGTTTAGTCCCATACTCTTCTGCCACTGTCAAACAGCCCTGTTACTGTGGGCATTAAATGCCCCGTGACGTACTGCGCATTTGATTCTGGTTCACTTGGGACACCTGAGCTCGGCTCTCAGTTTCTTCCACTCGACCCACAATCCCTAGTGTTTGCCGGTGTTGCATCCCCCCAGCCCCTTTCTTCGCTTCGTCCAGTACCCCCACCTTCCCATCCTGGCCTTGGTGAAGGAGGAAAACGCAGCTTGAGGTCTACTCGAAGACTGACCCTCAGCTTCCATAGGCTGCCGCCGAGCTGCCAGCATGCCGCCGCTCCACTCAGGTAAACTTCGGAGTGAGTTACCTGCACTTGGAGAAGGGCCTTACCTGAGCGCGCCTCTGCCAATGGCAGCTCACCTGAGGGAGCTCCGCAGCCAATCACCGCGCAGCTCGTCCCTCGGGCTTGTACCCTTTAGTGAAAGAATTCAGCTCCTTGCGAGAAAGTTACCTGTGGCCGCCCAAGTCCGCCACTTTCTGCTCTGTGTCCGCCCATTGCCACGATCCAGGAGGACTCCGCGCCGCCCGGCCGCCTCCGAGCTCGGGCCCCATGTGAGGGGCCCCCCCTTATCCCACCTTTCCGGCTAGGTGAGGGCGCGAGCGGGCGAGCGAGCGAGAGTGGTGAGGGGGGACGGAAAAGCAGAATTACCTGTAGCTCTTGTTCTGCCATCTCGGGCGCTCTCACACACCTTCACCTGCACAGACTTGAAAGTCCAGTTTCACCAGAGGCTGAGGCTCCAGGAAAAGGGGAGCAAGTTCATTGGATCAAACATGTCACAAGAGTCGGACAAGTAAGTGGATCACACGCGCCTGCTGCTGCTACTACCACTTTGGGCTGATGGCAACTGGTTTGTTATGTTTTTGTTTTTGTTTTTAAGTTGCTATTGTTGGTATTTTTTCTTTTTGGTGGATCCAGACTTTTCCGCATTATGTTTCTACCCTGGTTAAGGGGAGAAACCCTACAACAATGTGAATGTTTAATACCCCTTTGGGCCTTGATAGTAAAAGTGGATTTTCCTTTTCCTTTCTCCCTTAGGAATGGTCTCAGCTCCCGCTCCCGGATAAATACTTGGTTATTGCCAGAGGTTGTGGCAGATGGGCGCGGGAGGCCTGCTCTTCCCCCTCTGCTTTAGCTGCTCCCACCGATCTGGCGTTTAGGGCCATTTGGAGGTTCAGCTGAGTTCCTTCGATTTGTCCAAAGGGCCTGCTGGAAAAGTGGGGCTTGGCCGCTTTTGTGTGACCGCAACAAAGAGCTTTTATACCAAGGCAGAAACGGCCATCTTCTCGCACCGGGCAGGAGGGTGGGCGTGAGTGCGCGCCCGCCTGTGGCCCCCGAAGGGAGGCGAGGGCGCAGGGAAGCCGGAGAGCGCGGGGGCTGCCGGCGCTGTCCCCCACTGCCCCCACATCCCGCCTCCCTCCTCCCAGCCCCGGCCTGCCTCCCCCGGGTCCGCCCCCGCATTGTTTGGCCACCTTCCCCAGGTGCCTGGGGGAAAGCACCGTTCGCCCATGGGGGTACTCGTGTGAGGCCTCGAGTTAGGGCCTTGGCGGGGCGCAGAGGGGCGCCTGCCAGGGAGCGGTTTCCCCGCGCCCCGACGGCGTTTGCACGCCCCCCGAGCTCGCGGCCCTCCACGCAGTTGGCGGCCACCTCAGACACGGCGGGCAGAACTGAGTGGGGCGCGCCGAGCCTTCTCGGGGGCTCTCGCTGTCGAGGCCGCTGGACTCGCTTTTTTCGCGTCCCCGACGGGCACTCCAGACTCGCCGGGAGCGGCAGCCTGAGAGGTCGGAGCCACCCGCGGGTCGCTGGGCCAGGTCCCGCCGCGTCACGGCGGCCTCCCCGCCCCCGCCCTTGCCCCGGCTCTCGCTCTCCGAAGGCTTTGTGAGCCGGGGGAGGTGGGGCCTGGGCGGGCGCGGGAGGGGGCCGGAGGTGAGTCCCGCGGCCTTTCTCGGGATTCGGCGGGGACACTCCCTTCCCCCTCCTCCCGGGCGCGTCCGGGCCTGGGAACTGGCTGCGTCCTATTGGAAGTGCGCGGGGCCGCCCTTTTGCTTTCCCCGGTAACTTTGCCGTGGCGTTGCGGCCACCGTGGGGACTTTCCTGAAGGTGTTTCGTCGGGGAGGGCCGGTGCCCCGAGGCCGCGGGCCGCCGAAGCCTGTCATGGAGAAGTGGCGGGGACCCGTCCAAAGTGGAGGGACCACGAGGGAGGAGTGGGAAGGCCCTGCGGACCTGTTCAGGGGTGGAGGGGAAGGAACGGCCTCCGGATAAGGCCGCTGGTAGGTTAGGCGAACCTGAGAACATGCGCTGTCACACTTAAAAAGCAAAAAACTGCCAGAGAGTTGTACTCAGTTAGCCACCGATGAGGAATTGACCGAGTACAGCATGCCGGAGTGGGAAGAACTAGCGTTACCGACACGGGAAGAGGGTTCGAGGCAGGTGAGGAAGGGGAGAGTGTGTGCTTGTCTGAGAATACCCCCCCCAGCTCCTCCTTAGATCTCGATAGTCTTTAAGGAAACGCGACTCATCTTTGAAATTTTCAGTATCCAAATGCCGAGGTGACACACGTTTTGGGGGCTTGTTTTGATCCTTGCGTCAAAAATGGTTGCAAATCTAGTTTAATTAATCGAGCAATTAACATTTGGTTTGACTGCCTAGTTTTGTGATACAACAGGACTCGAATTCTGAATGAAAACGGGTCGGTCTTTAACCAGTTCAGCCATCAGAACAATGTGTTTACCGTCAGAAGTAAGTACTGAGCGCCCCAACCTGGTTTCACCACACGCATCACCTAGTTTTTATGGGTGATAAGTATCTGGGATTATGCATACTTACATTTAATGAAAGTTGCTTTTCTAGTCGTGATTTCCAAGACGACATTGTGTATCTTGGGTAAAATAATCATAACAATAGTGCAAAAAGACAGTTTGACCTGGTTTGTCTCTCTTATTGGGCTGTTGGAAAATGCTTTAAGTCACTATACGGCTTCTGGATCATTTTTTGCGAATTCTAGCCTAGTTTTCTTAGTGTTAATATTCTAAGGGAGCCCTGGCAAGAGTGGGTCTGAAGCTTATGCAACTATGTGTGTGAGATGGGGTGGTCACACTGTGAGGCTTCCTTCCTGAGAGGCCCTAAGCTCGAACTTCTTCAGCCTCATGGAAAATCTGCACTACGAGGCCTGCCTGTAGTTTCTGGAAATAACAAAGGAATGCACACTGGATCTTCCTTCATAATCCCATTGAGATTTAGGCAATCTCTGGGATTGCACAGGAAGATATTTCCAGTTAACATGGCTTGACTGAAGTCGCATTGTCTTTTTTATGGTGTGGACTTTTCAGGTTGAAACGTTCTACTTTTGATGTTTTGCAGTGTTGATGCTATCGCCAATTAAAACAAAGTACTTTTAGGACATGTTGTCTTCGTACGTATTTTAAAATTCTTTACTCCCCCATCTTAAATTTCATGAAGATTTAAGATCTTTGTCAGCAAGCATATGTACAAATGAAGCAATGATAGACTAAGAAATTCTTATTTTACTGTCAAAATGTATGAAATAAATTCAGAGAATGTATAGGTACTATGTGATTTGATACTCAAAGGTGTGTTTCATTAGGTAAGTGTGTTTTCTGGTTACCTACTATTTGTAGCACATTCAGATAGGCATAATAGAGGCATGTGAGGATGGATAAGATGAGCCCTGTTCTCAGGGGGCTTATGCTGTAGTGGAAAGCAATTCATGAACAGACATACTTTTAGTGAACACAATGCCTGATAAGTGTTTTAACAGTTTCAAAAAATACAATAGTTACAAAAAAGTTTCTAAAAATACAATACAGGTCATGATAAATATTGCTTCTCCTATTCATCCCATTTTTGCCTTTGATGATTAATTTTAGTCATTTTGTGTGTTTTATGTCAAGGAGTCTTGCTATTATTCAGAAAATGGCTGAAGTTATAGGTATTTTATGTGGATGACTATATTTTAAACTCTCTAGTCTTTAGTTTTATAAATGCATATGTTTGTTTACATTTGGCTATGCAAAATATCTTTTAAGGTCAGAAACATCAAGAATTTATCATATCTTCTTCAATACAAATACCCATTCACTTTTTCAATGAATATGCCTTGAATGCCACTGTAGAGTGGGCATTGAGATTCACTGGTAAACAGAACCTAGTCCCTGCCTGCATGGTGCTTAGTGTGTGTGTGTGTGGGGGGGGGGGGCCGGTGGTGAGGGAGAGTAGACAGCAAATCCTTGTTGATAGTAAATCAAAAAAGAAGTAAACATTTAATTAGATGATGATAAGTGCTATGAAGGAAAGCCAAACCAGCTGAAGGGGGTGAGAATAATGGGGATGTCTTTTGTATAGGGTGATCACGGACAGCTTCCCCAACGAGGTGAGCTTTCAGTAGAGGCCTGAGTAAAGTGAGGGAGCAAGCTCTAAGATATCTGGTGTAGGAGTGTTAGAGGCAGGTGGAAGAGCAAGTGCAAGGGTCCTCGGGTAAGAGTGTGCTCAGCATGTTCTAGAACCAGAAAGGCGCTCAGTGTGGGTGAAATCAGAGGCAGAGATAATGGCACCATCAAGTAAATTAACATCAGTTCTCTACTCATTAATCCGGACAGTTGCATACTCAAAATAGTCAAAAGTATTCTTGTAAGCGGTCTTGGTAGTCAAGAGAGATTAATACCCAATGAGTAAATAATGAACCAGCTAATACCTCAGTCTTGTCTCTTTTCCTATCACCAGTTTAATGCTGAGGGGTCCAGAGTTCTGTTCCCTACAATGGATTAAATCTTGTACACTCCTTAATTCAGAGATGAATAAATGCACACATTCTAGAGGATCCCTGGGGATTCAAACTAAAGAAGAGGGACAAAGTACAGATAGTGTTTGCTCAGACACGCCCACCTCCCTAAAACTTGTAGTGTAATCTACTACCTTCAGCTACCTTCTCCACTCCTTAACATTAGCCTCATGCAAGATAAAAATGGCCCTTGCTGGCCAGGCGCGGTGGCTCCAGCCTGTAATCCCAGCACTTTGGGAGGCCGAGGCGGGTGGATCACGAGGTCAAGAGATCGAGACCATCCTGGTCAACATGGTGAAACCCCGTCTCTACTAAAGATACAAAAAATTAGCTGGGCATGGTGGCGTGTGCCTGTAATCCCAGCTACTCAGGAAGCTGAGGTGGGATAATTGCTTGAACCCAGAAGGCAGAGGTTGCTGTGAGCCGAGATTGCACTATTGCACTCCAGCCTGGGTAACGAGTGAAACTCCGTCTCAAAAAAAAAAAAAAAAAGAAAAGAAAAAAAATTGCTCTTGCTGCCTTCCTCTTGCTCCTGTTCAGTTTCTACGAACTATATCCATCAGAAAACATGGACTAGTCCACTGTGTCTGGAGAAACACTGCATAGTGTGTGCTTTAGTGACTTTCCCATCAGTGACATAAACTGACATACAGGCAAAGTTAACCAAACTGAAACAGAAGAAAATGCTGGACAACAGGACAAAAATCTGAGCTAATAAAAATGAGTTGAAGTTGATGTACATACT